CCGAATGAGCGCAAATTCAACAACATGCCCATGTAGTTGACAATATAGCAAGCAAGTGCTATGTGCGCCGCCAACATGTAATGTGTACTACGTGGACCGCGCCACAGCTGTAGCCATGTAGCCGGTGGCTTCTGTGAACGCAATGTATTGCGTAACTTCGTCAACTGCTGCCGAAAGTCATCCGGCATGAGGAATGTGCGTTCGTTGATGTCAACAGCCTTGCGTAGCATGCGCTCCACGCGATAGACATCGTGGTCGTTGCCATTCTTCAACAGCCAACGCGGTGACTCTGGTGTCCATTGCAGCAGGAACAATAGCACAATGGTGGGGAATGTAATGCCCAAGTAGAGTTCGTTCCAACTTTTGAAGAAAGACGAAATGCCCGGCAATAGTATTACGCCCAACGACCAGAAAGTGTCGTAGAGTATGATGACACCAGTGCGATAGCGGCCGCCAGTGATGTCGACAACTGTGGAAGAAATTGGCAGGGAAATGTTGACATACGCACTATTTTGAAGTTCGCACAAACTTTTACTTACATATCGCTTGCGCCGAGGTGAACATTAGCGCGCAACCGACAGCTGCGAGGCAACGAAAAAGGCAATGCATTGATAGATCTATTGAATAGCCGGTAGTGACGCCCAAAATGATCTGCAGTACGGCGCCGATAATGTATACCGTGCGCGGGCTGAGTCTGAAAGGGTTGCAAAGAAATGGAGACTATGTTAGTTTCTGCGCTAGGCGTCTTCCCTACCACTGCACCACTTACTTCAGCATAGCTTTGGTGCCTAAGACGCCACCCACCAGCACACCAAACAGATGCCAATATTGCGTCCACGCAACAAAAATTTCACGCAGGCAAACCAAATTGTATTGGATGATGAGCGAATAGAAGTTGTCGTCGTAGTCGAAACGCGTGCATGGCTTTCGCGCCACACTGGCACTAGAGTCCTCTAAATAGCACTGATCCTCTGATATCGTCTGATTTGCGCTCAGCTGAGTTGAGTCACAGTAGTACTGCGTGTTCGGCTTAATTTCCGGCGCTGTGTAGATAATACAGGCCATAAACCAGGAGGCGGGTAATTTGCACAAAAAGAGTATCAGCACCGAGCGCAGCTGCCAGATGCCGAAATCGCCCAACATACTACCGATTATGTCGGTGCCTGGTGCGAAAGCCGGTATGGGCGCCGCTGTTGGCAGCGCTGAGAGTCCTGCCTCGCCGATAATTTTACCACGCATCGGCGCATTGATTTGTGGTGTGCGTGGTGGCGTATTTGGGAGTATTGGCATCGTTGTTGGCGCATGCGCTTCTATACTATTGGCGTCGCCAGGCGTCATGTAAACGCTGGCATTGTGGCGATGCATCATTTGTGG